AATTTGATTGGCTGACGCTTCCACCAAAAGCTTCAGAAGCTTCAAAAGTTGAACATTGCTCAACTTTTGCAGCCTGAAACGCCAGGAAAGCTCAGCTCTGCTACCCACAATTCAGTTCGGCGAAAAGCGAGGCAACTTGACGTCACCCCATTCAAAGTGAATGGGCAGGCGCGTTGGAAACCGTTTTTGAAGCTGTCCAGAGTTGCATTAATTTTCCGCAAACATCTTGGATCGAGGACGGGAGAGTGCACCGCTGTCCGCTGCGCAGAGTCTTCTCCAGCACATCCCAACGACTCTCAGTGGCTGAGGTCTGGACTCTGTGGGCCAATCCATGTGTGGAAAGGATGTCTCCTGCTCCCTGAAGCACTCATTCACAATGTGAGCCCCCATCAGAGAATACAAACTCCATTGATGTTAGACCCGGGGTGTTTCTCAATGTCAAGGAGGCTTGCTTGGTAGCACATGTACCTCTGAGTCAAGAATCCTTCCTTGCCTCGGAAAACAAAGAATGGTGGAACAGGCTAACAGGTTTGCGTCATATGCGAGGCCCCGCCTTAAATGGAGCGCGATTTCCACCAAAGATTTGGAAATTGGTCCGTGTGCAAAGCATTAGGGGATTTTAAGACCACGTAGGATACACATGTGCAGCCTCGAAATTTCCCGCAACGAAGGACGCCGACCTCGGTAGAATTCCATGTATACTTGACATTGGAACAGTCCTTCGGCGGTACTCGATGACGTAGCATCCTTGAAATAGTGGCTCTGGAGCAGCCTTCCCCAACATTGATAAACAACCCCGGTCATTCAGTATATTCAGGTAGTCAGCTGACCTCATTCTTTGGGAACATAACATAACTGAACCTAGACCTAGACCTGGCCAACTGCAGCTGCCCCAGACCATATTACTGCCCCCATAGGATTGTACAATAGGCATGGTGGACCAGATGGATGGATTGATTTGAGTAGTTTCAGCAATCTCCTTAGTTGTTTTATTTGCTTAATGCAGGCCAATCATTTGACCCTCCTGAAACCGATTGCCCTCCTTTCCACAACCACAGCGATTTTCTGACATGGTTGTTTGAGAAATGAGAGGGGGGCAGTTTAGAAACCAAGTGAAGGCCACGACAGAACCATTTCACAAATATGCGTGATGTTTCACACTCCTTTTACCTACACTTGCAATATCATTTCGAAATGTCCCCCAGACTCACAATGACACTTCTATTCTTTAAATGTCTGCGCATCAAGAGTAATCTTTGAAAAGCCACTTCAGCTATTAGAAGCACTTCTTGTTCCGGCTCATGTCCCCAGTCCCTTTCTGACCTGATAAAGTTCATGTTGATTCATCCAGTTTCTATTCTCATGTAAAACCAGTAGAACTACTTTTATTAAAGTTAGACAAAAGGAAGTCATAGAGAAAAAAGGTTTATATCCTTTGTTATTTTTTTATCAGTTTTTTGCCAATTGTTTTATTTATTCATTGCAATGTGAGCCGACATTAACTCATTTTATTCCGAACATATTGGCCTCTTTATTCATCAAATGGACCTGAGGTCCACACAACATAACTCTCATCCTAAAGGGATAATCTGCACGATCATTGCTGTTTCTGTCCGGCAGCTTCTAGCAACACAAACAGTGGTTAAGGTCATTGATATTGACTTTGAGCTCTTAATCCAATCACAAACAGAATCCAAGTTGTACCACATTCTGTATGTCAGGACATTGTTCACATGAAAGATGGCGCAGATGATGGAGAATCAGATCAAATCACTGCACGTCTTCAGCTCCACAGTGTTTGGGTCCTGAGGATCTTCTACTCGTTGTGTTCCTGCCAGTGGATGTTGATGAAGGTCTTGCTTTCCATGCGGTCGATGTAGAGGACCCCCTCCAGGTGGTCCATCTCGTGCTGGAGGATCCGAGCCGGCCAGCCGCTGGCCTGCCACGTCACCGCCCCCCCTCTCTCATCCAGACCTGCAGGGGGAGGGGAAGAAAGCATTAGCAAGCATTCTGATGTTACAGTACCCTAATTAAAGAAAAATGAATGTTTTCCCCTCAGTAATGCTGTGAAGTTCAACATCGGCATTAACACTTTATGTATCTGTATATCTCCACTACATTCATTTTAAACAATGTGTCACTAGTTACATTGCAGATTTAGATGATTAATTAATTAAAATTCTACAAAATGTTCACTTTTGGGACTTTAAGTATATATTGATGCTAATACCTTTTTATTTTAGGAAGATTATAAAAAAAAAAGAAATGGTGTTACTTTTTTTTTCCATTTTGCACAACAACCACTTTACACAACAATAATTAATAAACTATCATTTAGCAGCGGGAAAAATAAGTATTGAACACGTCACCATTTTTCTCAGTGAATATATTTCTGAAGTGCTATTGACATGACATTTTCCCCAGGTGTCGGTAACAACCCATGCAAATAAATAAAACCATAGATGTCTATAAATTGAGTTACGTGTAATAAAATGGAATGACACAGGGAAAAAGTATTGAACACATGAAGAAAGGGAGGTGCAAAAAGGCATGGAAAGCCAAGACACCAGCTGAAATCTATCAGTAATCAGAAAGCAATCCTGTCCCTTGAAGAGGCAAATTAACTTGTGTAACTTGCTGCTGTTAAATACCGTCAAACTATGTGCAATATGTGCAATATATACTTTATATACATATGCCATCTTTAATAACTGTAATATATACCGGGCTACTAAATCCTAAGAACTGCTACAGGAGTTGATTTGTAGATTTGATTTGTTTTTGATCTGTATTTTTGAAAATTATGTAACTTTTTTAGTTTTTATCATTTTTTTGTTTAGCATATTGTTTATTATATTATAAATTAGTATTTTTTTAGCATATTGTTGTGTTGTTTGTTTATTATATTATAACGTAGTACTTTTTTTTAACGCATTTAAGATATGCAACAATAAGATGTCTGTGGCTCTTTCCTGCTGTAACGCTGCAAATTTCCTCTCTGTGGGACTAATAAAGGTATTCTGATTAATATCAGCTGGTTCAGTCCCAACTGATGGCCTACAAAAAGAAGTCTCATTACCAAGGAGTCACACAAGAAACCTCTCATGGTGAGTAAAAGCAAAGAGTTCTCTGAAGACCTTCGCAACCTTATTGCAAAATACACTAATGGCATTGGTTACAGAAGGATTTCTGAACTTCTGAATGTTCCAGAGAGCACTGTTGGGGCCATAATCCGGAAGTGGAAAGAACATAATTTCACCATAAACCATCCACGACTGGGTGCTCCTTGCAAGATTTCTGACTGAGGAGTCGAAAATAATTATCAGAAGAGTTGTCCAAGAGCCAAGGAGCACTTGTGGAGAGCTTCAGAAAGACCTGGAGTTAGCAGGTACAATTGTTTCAAAGAGAACAATACGTAATGCACCCACCCGCCATGGCCTGTATGCACGCTCACCACACAAGACTCCATTGATGAAGAGAAAGAATGTTGAAGCTCGTTTAAAGTTTGCTGCTCAACATTTAGACGAGCCTGTGAAATACTGGGAGAATATAGTCTGGCCAGATGAGTCCAAAACTGAACTCTTTGGATCCCATAACACACACCATGTTAGGAGGTCAACTGGCACTGCACATCACCCCAAAGGGAACATCATGGTGGGGGGCTGTTTTTCAGCATATGGCAGAGAATGGAAAAATGTACCAACAGATTCTTGATAAAAATCTGCTGCCATCTACCAGGAGGATGAAGACGAGCGAGGGTGCACATTTCAGCAAGACGATGATCTCAAACACACAGCCATGGAAACTCTCATTTGGTTTCAGAGAAAAAAAGTAAAGCTGCTAGAACGGCCCAGCCAATCACCTGACTGGAATCCAATAGAAAATCTATGGAAAGAACTAAAGAGTAGAGTTCATAGAAGAGGCCCACGGAACCTTCATTTGAAGACTGTTTGTGTGAAAGAATGGGCCAAAATCCCACCTGAGCAATGTGTGAGACGAGTTTCTCCATACAGGAGGCGTCTTGAAGCTGCCATTACAACAAAGGATTACATATATTTCAGTAAGCGTGTTTGATACTTTTTCTCTGTCATTCCATTTTATTACACCTAACTTAATTTATGAACGTATTTGTTTTGATGTCTTTGTATGTGTGGATTGCATGGGTTGTTACCAACATCTGGTGAACATTTCATGTCAATAGCACCTTTTAGAAATATATTTACTGAGAAAACTGGTGACATATTCAATACATATATTTTTCATATATTCAATTATCAAGCATAATTGAGCTATATTTGATTGATTTTGCTAACTCATGACTTAACTTACGAGGCATTAAACCTCATCTTTAGTGAGGGGCCCAGCCCTTCGTTTATTTTTCTGTAAGTGGCCCTCAGTGAAAAAAGTTTGGAACCCCCGGATCTACAGTATCTAACTTCACAGATCAGTGAAACATGCGTACCGGAGACTTCCACAGACAGGTAGCGAGGCACGGTGGCAGAGAAGCCTGAGAGGCTCTCACAGGCCTCCTGAAAGAGCGCCGTGCGTCCATCCAGGACCTTCAGCGTGGGGTTGACAAAGACCCTCAGCGGCTGGACGGAGATACCCCGGGCCTCCCTGGATGAGGGGGAACTGTCCTTCAACATCTGCTCGGGGTACTCCAGGGCCAGGATGCGGAGGGGCACACCGATCTGAGGCGCGCTCAGCCCCACACACTCCAGTCTCCGCATCACCTTCACCAGAGTCCTGATGACCTGCTGGACCTCAGCGCCGGGTACAGCTGCAGGGTCCACAGCCGCTGCATGTGAACGCAGCACCGGGTCCCCCACCTGGCACACGTGACTGTATGGAGGACAAGGGGGGGCTATGATCTTGCGCTTCATGTACTGGAGATAGGGGCGCACCTTGATGCTGCTGGAATGAGAGCGGCTGCAGGAGACGTGAGAGGGGGGGGACATATGTGGACGCCAAGAGGAAGTCATTGTTGTTAACCTCGGGGCCCCGGAACTGCAGCGGGGGGCTTTGGACGCACAAAGCCTGAACCCCCTCCTGGACAGTTGGAGCAGAAACACACATGATGTGGTGTTCATGGAGAGGCTGCATCTGGGATGAAGTTTCACATGAAGGGGGGTGGGTGATACAGTGCTGTTGGAACAAATAAAACAAGAACTAATAATTTGGTTGAGTCATTGAGACATTTATGAGATCTATGAGTTTTGATGACAAGAGGAGTTTGACACACCAAATATCCCTAAGTATATGGGCAGACAAATAAAACAGCTATAAGTGAATGTAGAACCCATTATTCCTAAACAATAAGCCTTGATCTGCTGTTAGAACAGCCTCACAACGGTATGGGTGGGCTGGGGTGATACCTCCAGAATGATCTCATGACAATCTTAGAAAAGCATTAGTCCATGGCCTGGCGTGTGGACAAAGTCAATGTGTTGTTGAAACAGGAGAAGGACATTTCCAAACTGTTGACAGTTGCAATTACACTACTGTGCTAAATATTATTGCATCCTGTAGCATTATCCTTTCATTTACTTAGAACAAAAGGGTTTGCCCAAACCCTGAAAAAGGTCCAGAGCATAAGTATGTCAGTATGACGAACCTCAACCAGGGTGTACTTTCATGGAGGTTTCACCTAAACGTGTTGTACTTTCATGATAGATGCAATTACTCAAAGGTGTGAAAATATATAGATATAACATATTTCAAATTTGACAGATGGTATAGGCCTTTTTAGATAAAACACAAACACAATGGAGTGCCAGTGTCTACTACCAACGGGGTTTAGCACAAAGGTTTAGCACTGTATGGTGTGTTGATTGACGTTTATTCCGTTCTATTCCGTTCTACAGATAACGCTTCAGCTTCGCAGCACGTCAAACACCTCCGAAGGTGTACGCAATGAGTCTTGCGCGCCCCTTTGACCGCTAAAACCAGACACAAGCTAAAATGTTAGTTAGTTACTGTATTTGCGACACACTACTCATTATACAAGCCGAGCACATTAGTTGCACATTAGAATACTTGCATATTCGTTACCTTACAAAGTGTTAGGCTTCCATACTGACTAAAAAGCAGCACATATTCAGAGCTAAAGATGAAAGCAGGGAAAGAGATGTTCACAGCGCGGTTTAACTACTTCCGGGTCAGCAACAGAACAGCAAACTTCAAAATAAAAGTATACATGTTGTATCACATGTACAGTCTATGATCACAACCTTATCGTATAGAACTGTTTATTTACGAACCTTTATTTTGACTGCCAGTGAGTTTGACAAGGAAGTAATTTGTAATGTTTTCAAAAACGGAACGATCTGCAAACAGTCGCAGAACCGGGACGTTCACAGCTTCACACTCTTATTATACATCCATGACTTCACATCTTAAACTTGCCGCTACATGTCCTGAGGTCCAGCTCGGGGGGCGGGAGCAGCCCATTCATGAAGGGGTTACAGAGGAGCAGTCGGCCGCTCTGTCGCTGAGCCTCCGATGGAAGGAAGAGGTCCATGTTCACTGATGGAAGGAAGAGGTCCATGTTCTCTGACCTGCCCCAGAGGACCGCTGTGGATCATAGAGTTTGTCTGGGCTCACAGGATGATGGACATACAGCAAGGTTAATTTGACCAGTTCTCCTGTTACCTCAACGCTTTGACTGTATAGGGCTTGCTGTGTTTCCCCTAGGTTTACTGCTTTGGGGGGGTGCTGTCTGAGGGGGTTCTTAGGGTCAAAAGCACTAAACTCACAACTTAAAATGCAAGTGTTTAGTTTATTTAATAAAAGAGCACATGTTCAATGTGAAAAGTGACAGTAGATAGATAATTTAGTTGCAAAAAAAAAAAAACACCTTGAATTTCAGGGGGGCGAGGGGCTCCGTTGGTGGTATGGAAACACTTGTTCCGTATCGTTTTGTATCATTAACATGATATCAAACGTTCGTATATGTAGCATAAATGTAGATGCAAATCAAACAAAGACATTCAGATACGGTGATGATTGTTTGTAGTAGATGTAGTATGTGTTCTGTTGATTTATCAAAAGATCAATGATGCATTCAGTGATTAAACTGTGTGTGTGTGTGTGTGTTTGTGTGTGTGTGTGTGTGTGTGTGTGTGTGTGTGTGTGTGTGTGTGTGTGTGTGTCATTACTTCACTGCACACATCAATACCGTACATACCAATTATATGGTCTCTTTATGAACTATGATTAATTGCTATAAATTAAACTAGCCAACAGTTTATAACAAGGAAAGATCTATTTAATTATTATGACTGGTGCATTAATATAGCAAGTGCTTTTATTTAATTATAAAAAAAATCTGTAAAAGGCCTTTCTACATACAAATACCATATTATATTTATTTCAGTAATATCCTGACATGCAGGACTCTTCAAACTGTGTTTTGAGTACTCATTAGTAGCTCAGGTTAGCCCAGTCCCTGCAAACCAAATACCTGACTGAGTTGCCATAGCAGTAAAATCGGAATTTTCTCCATGTTCATATTTTATTCCATTCTATTTCAATGTAAATACTGCTACAGTTTTATTATTTTTTAATGTTATTATAGTTTTCTTAAAATAGTTCCCTATCTGTTTCTGAATCTGATGCTCCTCACAGTCGTGGACCCCTCCTCTTGGCCGGACGTGGGCTCTCAGCCTCTGAGCGTGGAGGACCCGTGGAGGCTGCGTGTTTCCTCTGCTCAGGTTTATTCCATCGTGAAGAGCAGAGACACGCAGCACTTTGAGAGAGTGCTGAACTTTCTGGAAGACACACACAGACTTCTCCCCAGCCTGGTGGCTCCCATCAAACACATGAAGGTCATGTTCGGCCTCAAGACCCTGGTAAGAGAGGAGTCGCATCATTCAACATAAAAGGGAAATCCATCTCCAGTGTTTTATCTTAATCTCCATCTCTTGTAATGTGTCTTCTTCCAGCTCATCATGTGGATGCTCAGAGAGAGGCGAGGAATGGTTGAGACTGTTTGTAAAATCTGCAAATTCTTTCCAAGTAAACTCCCTCAGTACCAGGATCAGTGTGTAAGTGTCATCTGCTCTGGGCAAGGGTGTAACTTTGGTTTGAGAAGTGGGGGGGACACAAAACAGGGGTCCTCCGCAATGACATTTTTTCTCAATTTAATTCCATTTCCTGCCTTTCTACAAATATATTAGGGACTATAGTGTTAACTAATCCAATAATTTTTTTTAGTGTATATAATGAGTGTGCACACTTATCTAGTATCCTATCCATGTGAACCTGTTTTATTTGTGATGTCCTCACATCCTCTAGGGGGGTCCGGGGGCATGCACCCCGGGAAGATTTTTTTCTTTACATTAAAGTTAAAAACATCAATCTGGTGCACTTTGAGGGCAACATGAAGAGATGTATGGATACAGCTCTCAACACTCATATGAAACAGAACTGTATATATTTCAATAATAAATTAGAATATGCTCACAACCAATAACACATATTTGATCAACTCCTCTCTCCTATCTGTATCTTACCTAGACTGCATTCTTTCTTTTTATTTATGCATATTTGACTAATCACTCCCCTTTCAAACTGTGTTTTAAATTTTTTACTGACATTGGAATAATTTTTTTACTTATTTTGAACAACTATATTAAATAGATGGAAATATTTGTTTAAACCAAACCGTTTGAGACCCACTGAGATAACTTAGACTAAAGTTTACAATATAATCACTCAGCGAGTCCTTTACCTCCCTGAGCTGACGTTATCTCACCCTATCAGTCCAACAGGAGGGGACTCTCCCTCTCCTTATTGTTGAAACAGCTTTATAATCTAATCTCCGAGCTAGCACCAGATGCTAACAACAACCCCCGGTATCTCTCTCTCTCTCTCTCTCTCTCTCTCTCTCTCTCTCTCTCTCTCTCTCTCTCTCAAATTCAAATTCAAATTCAAATTCAAATTCAAAGGGGCTTTATTGGCATGAAAGTTAAATT